CTTTACATCTGCATTATCTACATTTTATATACCTTTGCTTACAGTTACTTTCTACTTTTTTCTACCTCTGCCTTGAGAAACTGGGGAAAAAATTACAAGAGTAGCTGTGAATAAAAATAAGGAGTTGGACTGTTGCAGCTGCTCCATCCAAGTCAGTACATGGCTAAGGCAGTAGTTTGGGTCCTGGCAAATCTCTAATTCTTATTCCAGAGGTAGCTCTATTTCAGTGACAAGCAGACATCTGTGGAAGAAATGCTGGTCCCTGTGCAGAGCACTAGGTAAATTGTCACGCTGATCGCAAACTGCTTTGAAATGTGGAATATGGGAGCCGATCTAGAGCTAGAGGTGTACGAGAGGGATTTCTGTGCAACTGCTAGGGCTGTGGTGAAATAAGCGTATAGTCATTGTGCAGACTCTGATACCATGATTACCACAAGCCTTGGTTATGTTTCTAGAATGTGGGGATTCTCTTGTCGTACAAATTCAGTAAAAAAAAAAAGCGATTCACAATTATGCCAGGGATATGACCACATCCAGATCAGAGGATATGGCATAACTGGGGAAAACCAATGCAGTTAGCACCACTGTAGGGCAATGAGATGAGGCAAAATGCAGCTCAGATTAGGTGACTACAGAGTTTCATTCTGCCCATAAAATCTCTTAATCTCCCTTTGGGATGCACACACATGCCCACAGGGCTACAGCCAGCGGCTCTGGGTATGCTCACCTCCCAGCCGTGCGGAACAGCAACCCCTCCACCTGGCTTTGGCATCCTGCTTGGGTGCCGAGGAGGACACAGTGGCTCTCGAAGGCCAGAGGAGGCTGTGATGACAGGTTGTGCTAGTGCTGCAGCAACTCTTAACCCTCCTGGCAGGACAGCAGCTGCAGAAGCCAGTGCCAGCTGTGCTCAGGCCCACCTCCTCTTCCCCTCTGGAGAGCCGAGCCCAGGTGGCTCTCACACTGCCCTCCCTATGGCTTATGCACATGTGGGAGCAACAAATCCTTTCTTTTGTGGGCTGCAAATATGCTAAGCCAATAACCATTATACAAACAAGAGGGAGTAATTATCTCATTAAATGTACTGGCAGTATGCAGGCATCTCTGCTGTATTCTCTTACCTCAACTGAGGTGCTGGAGGGAGAAGCCTTGCAAAGGTGTCTTCCAGGAGCAAACCCTTCCTTCTGAAGGAGATAATTTGTTGAGATAATTTGTCAAATTAATTTGTCAAAGATTTGTTTAAAAACCAGTTCATATTCCTCTTTCCTAATTGTTCCTGAAAACTCCTGCCCCTGAGCAGCTCTCATGTGTTTGCCTCTATTTTGGGGATTCCCAGGCTTGCCTTCCCAGCTCACTGTTGAAGCACCACACAAATAAAAATATGCTTTTCAGTGTTGTGAAGAGAAGAGGCTTGGTAACCAGTGGTGACGAGGGAAAGCCATGCGGGCCTCTGTTCTGCCAACTCTTAAAAAAACCCTCAGTTTAAACTTCAGTTTTTAAAAATGTGGTGGACACATTTAATGGAAGAGGAATATTCTAATGCTTGAGGTTCAGTGGATGTGTTAGTCTTAGCAAGATTAGGACCAAAAAGAGAAAGGCAAAATAAGGGCCAGAAGTAGTTTCATAGTTCTCTTTAATCTATCTTTCAGCACTTCATTGGGAACAATTTATGTTTTTTTGTTTGTGTCATGATAATTTGTTCAGTCAGAAAATTGACACTGGAAAAATTATTTTAATTTGAATAATTATCTGCTTTCCCTTGTGTTGGAATCCTGCAGAAGATACAATGTATTTGTATTTAGTGGTATACAAAATTATATAACAAAAAAATTATAAGGCTGAGAGACATAGTTATGCTCTTCGTTATAATTTACTTCTCATCCTTGCAAAATTCAATACTTTATGTAATTTTTAAAGGTGCCTCTTCAAAACACCCTTAAATATACCTTATTTGCATTCTTTGCTGATAAGATTGGAATAGTTCCCTTATCACCTCACAGTACAGGTTATCAGCGTGTGACTACACTACATTTCACTAGTAGATGTTAGTTAATTTATTTATTTGGCCAGAATGGCTTTTTTGGCTAGCACTGATCCCTGCTCCAACCACTCTGCTGGTACAACTGAGGGTACAGTATACTGGGGCTCAGGGTGGGAAGGAGTCCTAGGGAGCAGGGAGGGGAAATACATTAAGACTTGATATACTTGTGTGAATACACAGCAAGTAAAAATATACCCTGTGTAAGACACAGGGTTCTCTTCAGCTCTCAGGAGCACTTTGGATTTTCTGCACGTTGTGTTATCGTTTCATCATTGTTATCAGGTCTGATATGCACTTCTGCTTAATCACCACCTGAACTTGCCATTACTCTGTGACTGTTCCCGACACGAAATCCTGTCGGTGAGAAGTTTGTAAGGTCCAAGCCCAATAATTTAGGTTTTAATCGTAGGAAACCTTCCAGACTGTGTGACTTAATGCCTGTCCAGAACAGTGGTATGGTGTGATTGGCGTCAGCCTTGGGAGCAAGTGGTGAAGCCTCAGCCTAGAGACCCCGAGTGTTAGCCAGGCAGGGACTGCCTAGGACAGGCACCAGTGCAGCTGGGTTGTACATCCCTGTGTTGTGAGGACAAGAGCATTCAATGTGTACAGGACTCTACCTAGTATTAATTCTGGAAGAACTTATAAACATCAGATTTAGTTTTGACTTTTTTATTTTGTTTGCTCTGTCTCTTTTTCTCTCTCTCTTTTTTTTTCTTTTATTTAAGGCAGGTGCTATATCTGGGATCTTTGGGCTCCGAAAGGGAGTATTTTCAATTTCAGCAAAACTGTGGTTGTACTTTCTTTTAATGCCTGAAGGCATTCTTATTAATATTGGGAGTCAAAAGCTTTGTAAAAACTTTTTCTTTATATTATTTTTTGCTGTTTGTATAATCTACTTATTAAATGAAGGTATTTATTGGAATACTTATTTATTTATACTTATATCACTCGGTATATGAGATAATACAGCCTTTAAATAGCTACTTGGTTTTGTTGCATTTTGTCATCTGCCAAATAATTTGACAAATTTGCCATAAACTCCCTGACATTTTTGCTCAAAAGAGTTAGTTTTCTTCATTCTTTGCTGCCAGACAGGTCATGTATCTTTTCAGGCTTGAAGAATTTCTATCAGCTATTTAAATGCAAGGCCACAAAGACAAAGCCAGACTCAGGCTGCAGCGAGCTGAACCAGGGTGATTCAGGACCAAAGGAGTTGCAGCACATAATTAAACAGTAACTGTGTCCTACTCCAGACACTTTACATCTTGCAGTGTAAACTGCCTGCTTTACCAATGAAAAAGGGGTATATGCGCAGTTATCAGTACGTGAACAAGGACGGTGAAAACTCTTATTGAGCGACACTCGAAAAAGTTTTTTTTCCTACCACTTAGGCAGGGAACGTGACTAAAGATGGCTGCTGCCAGTTCCCTGCTGCTGAGGGAAGAGGATGCATCCCAGCTTCCCAGCTCCCGGTGCCGGGAGGAAAAGAAAGGGCAGAGCTGGGCATCGGTCTCTCCTTGGCGCTAATGGCAGCCGCCTTTGCTTTTACTCCCTGCAGCTGGGCTCAGAGCCAAGGGAATTATATACAGCCATGGCTGTGCGCTGAAAGGAGGAGGAGGAGGTAGGGAAATCTTTCTCAAGGCTTCTTGCACCTCTCTCATGTTGTTCTCAGCAGCAAGTTTCTCTTCACCTTGTAGTGATCTGTGAGGATCCAAGCTCCTCTCCCCCAGCTCATGGTACGAAAACGGGAGAGGAGAGATGCTATTAGCTCAGTTTTAGGGCAGTAAAAGAAATCTGGCACAAAGTAGCCATATCCTTGTTGGCCTTTAGACAAGGAGCTGATGCACCCCCACCCGATGCAGCTGAGCAGCGTGAGAAGGGAAAGCCTCAAAGTTAGTCGCCGCAGGCTTGTGGGTTAGTAACTGAGCAGGAGCGGATTAGACAGCATAGGCCTCGCTGGCAAGTTTTAAGTTGTGGTAATAGCAACCTTAAAGTGATTTTTATACAAGGCCATGTTGAATTTGATGGGAGAAGAAATATCCTGAAAAATCTATTGACAACAACAGTTATTTTTGCTGATTTTCAGAGAAGTACCTCAAAGGAGCAGGCTATAGGGAAGAGGCAGCACGGTCGTGAGGCTCCTTAGGCACAGGACAGTTTGATGGTGAATGAGGAGGATGCATGCAGGGATGTGCTTGTACAGATGAAGGCAGCACTGCAGTGTGTTCCTGCTGTGAATACACAGGCAAACAGGCAGAGGGAGGGGAATGGCCTGGAGCTGCCACAACCTCTCTTACATTGCCTGAAAACCAGAACCGCACAAAGCAACGGTACCTGGAGTCTTGTGGCAGGGCCTGGGCATCAATTCTGAAGGGCTCTCAGAAGACCGTTTCTGAAGTTCTACACAGATGCCTTTGCCCTTTTGTTTGCATGGCAATGGAGAGTGTGTGTACACACATGGAGCGGAATATACACAAGTTTGTACAACTGCCTCGGTTTACAAAGCATATTTTGTGCAGGATGTGTTTGGCCATGACTATTCATATATTTATTTATTGGCATCTAGTGCTGAAATGAAGTCATATCAACTTGTACCTTCTATAAACCAGATGGGCAGCTTTCCCAGGACACCGAGCTTCTGTTTTCTCTTCAAGCCTGCTTCTGTGCTGGGCTTTCTCTGGCTGTCAGACTGCTGCCTGCGCTGTGCAGGTAGTCTGATGTGTCTGGGGGTGGCTTAGGGAAAGGAATCTGCAGCCATTTCCGTGTCTTTGAAGGTGTTTCTGGCTCTGGCAGTTTGCTGACAGCGAGGCCTGTTTCCCCTTATTTCTTGTGCATCTCTTCACTCAGTGGGGTTCTTTCCTGTCATAATTTGCAGGGTTACCTTGCAGCCTTCTCACCTATCCTTTCTTTTTCTTGGTTTGACCACGGGGAGCTCTATGAGCATAAGTTCATTTCTGCCCACATGCGTGCCCTCGAAAAAGAGTCTTATGAGGGAGGTCAGTTTATTGTAGCAATATCCAGGGACTCCAGGCAAACTCAAGGACTCATATTTCATACTTTGTCCAAGGAAACATATAGGAAGGTGCAGCTCTTGCCCTGAAGACCTGTAACAATAAATTCTGCTGAGCCTGGTGCATCCTCTAAAGTCATCAGGGGGCATATGTTATAGCTTCCAGAAAGGAGAACAGCAGAGTCAAATCAATGTAATTGATTTGTACCTCATCTGTACCTCATCTGACTGGCAGGAATAAATTGCAAATGAGAAAGAGGGAGGACAGGAGTGGTTGAGTATGCACCATGGAGTGACAAAGGTTTGAGTAGCTCAGAAGCTGCTGACTTGCCATGTTGGACTCGTACCAGTGTGGAAAAGAACTCGGTAGGGTCTGGGACTCCACCGGTGTGAATGAGGTCATAGGATTGGGCTTTACAGAGCACAGTTTGAGCCCCCCTGTAACAAAAATGCACACGAATTATTGATTTTACATACATTAAGTGTTCTTTCAAAACCAGTGGAAATACTCAAGTACATATGTCTTTGCCAGACTAAGACTTAGAAATTAATGCAATTTATGTGTTTCAGTTGCCCACATGAGATTTTTTTTTTTAATGTATCATGTGATGGGGAGGGGAGAAAATATCCTGAGGAGCTTTATGTGCATGGAAGTGTTTCGGCCTCTGTTGTTTAAAAACAAACAAAAAATGAAACTAAAAAGCAACAGCTAAGTTTGAAAGCAAGAAAGGATTTTCTTGCTAAATAACCTCAGACTGAGCATGTGTTAACAGAAATGCTACAGAACACCATATGTTGAAAAACTGTGCTTTATTTAATTTTATATATTAGAAGTTTATTTTTTATGCAAAGACAAACACAAAAAAAGAGCATCTTTGTTCTTTTGCAGAGAGTTGGATTGAACGATGTCTCAATGAAAGTGAAAACAAACGTTATTCCAGTCACACCTCTCTGGGGAATGTTTCTAACGATGAAAGTAAGTAACTTGTCATTCATTTAAAATGAGTGTGAACGTGTGGAAGTGCTGATTTCCTGCAATATAAGTTGCTACATCTTAATGATATTTTTAGTACTCTGTAGTTTGAAGAGTCAACTCACTTGACACATCCAATAGTTTTATTAATTTTTTTTCCTGGAATTTGCAATTTTGCATTATTTAAAAGGAAGTAATACTATCTATTAGTCAAAACAACCAGAAGAATTTGTGTGTCACTGAATAAAGTTTGGATGACCTCTAAAATGTGCTGTTAGTATTACCTCATGAGTAAAACCATCTGTTTTGCTTGTCACTGGTGAACACCATACAGGAAAAATTGTTCTGTTTTTCAATACTACTATATCAAATCATACATAAAAAATCTTTCTTTTAAGAATTAAACAATCATCAGATTTAAAGAAAAAATCATGTATTAAATCATGATATTGCTTCCTTTTTAGTCATAGAGAGGAAATAATTATAAATCTAGCTAATTTTAAAATAGCTATTTTTTCTTATCTCTTCTAGTTATATTAACTTTAGATCTTGATTTTTAATAACAGCAGGTAATTAAAAAGACCCCAAAATACCTTAAAGTAACCTAATTGTTTCTTTTTAAAATTGTAAGACAACTTTTAGTTTACCATTTAATTTTCCCTGTTTATGCAATTTCTGTTCTACTTAATTTTCTAAAGCAAAATACTCTTCATGTTAGTTTTCCTCTCTGGACTTCATATACTAGTTCATGTTACAAGATATTAATGCAAATTAAATTCTTTAATTCAGAAAGACTCACATTTTTATAATATTAAAGCACATAAGTTTAGAAAATGTATTTTTAATAACTTCTTCATTGCTGAATGTCCCTTTTACATTTTTTGCATTTTAAGAAACTACTTTATTTTGAGATCACAGTAAAATTACATGCCTTGCAGCACAGTGTTTTAGTGGATCACGGAATTTGCTATATTGGGGCCCTACGCTTATCTGTCTGGGGATTTCTTTTGAGGCAATATCTCTTCTGAAGGAGAAAAGGGGTGTTAGAAACATGGTATTTCTTCATGACTCCCAAGCTAAGAACTGTGGACAAGAATCCTTAAAGACAGACAATAAAACTTGGACAGGTTTGGGTTTTTTTGGTTTTTAAAAATTAAGGCATTAGAAATTAGTTGCTCTTTGAAAATAAAATTGTGGTGAAAACCAAAAAACATCTGCTTGTTAATTTGCATTTTACGAGAACCTGTGAGACTTAGGAAATTCATTTTGCTCTGATGCTACTGAGAAAGTAATGGAAAGAATCTGTAATGAAAGAGATGTGACTTCAGACTCTTAATAGGGTCAGAATTCAGGATTCAACCCTACTGACTTCAGTGAACTTTTCCTTAGACTCACAGTTCAAGACAATATTATCAAGGTAATTACTTAGCACCACTACCTATATTAAAAAAAAAAAAGGTAAAATTATAAAGTCATCATTATAAGTCTCTTCCTGTTCTAGATCTGTTACCCTAAATAGGGTGTAGCAAAACTAGTGGTAGTTTGTTATATGTGCTTTCAGTTTAAATACAAGCATGAGAAAACCTCCACATACCCAGGGACAGTAAGAAGTGGACCTGCATGGGTTAGCAAGAGCAGGTATTTCAGACAATGGCATTGAGAAGATAGGATGGTTGTTCATTCTGTCTTCTGTTATTGGAATTAAGGGGCAAACAATGATAACAAAAGGCAGCAAATTTAGAAAATATATAAATTAATTTATCCCACAATTTGTGTGCAGAAGACATTGTCACAGCATATAATGGAAACCCAAATGAGAGTGAGAGTTGATTTCATCTAGCTTCCTTCTTAATAGCCAGTTCTTCCAGATGTTTCCTTTGCACTGATGCCAGCAATTCTGCGGTGCAGATAAGAGAATTAATCCACCTGAAAAGTCGTCCTTGTTTTGGGGGCTGAGGGGGGGGGAGGGAAGAGGGTGAAGAGGAAAGAGTAGGAAAGAAAATTAAGCCACTTCCCCAGCAGCAAGAACACCAATAATCTGTGAAATCCTGAGCAAACTAGAAGTTTCACCTTAGAAATCATTGTACTATGTGCTCCTTTCCAGCCCTCAAGTTCTTTCTAACATTTCTCTAACAGTGCCCACACACCAACCAAGAAATTTCCAAACCATTGTGTCACTCTTTGCCCGGCCTCTGTCATACATTACAAACAGCAGGAGGCAAAACTTTTTGAGAAAACCTATGTAACCCTATTTGAATTCTTCAGAACGGTGGTCAAATTGCTGTTAATGGAGCTCAAGTTTTCATCTTCAGCTGAAAGAAGGCATCATCCACCTTGACTATTTTTTTTGTCCCTAAATATATTAGGTAGTTGTTGGCTGGACTCTACCAGAGAAAATGTGGTTTTGGTGTTGGGTTGTTTTGGGATTTTTTTGGCCTTCCATCCAGTGAAGACTATGAGAATTTGCACTGTGAACTGATAATGTTCTTACTCAGTATCATGCTTGCTCTTGTGATTATTTTTTCCTGGATGTTTTTAGAGTTCATAGGGTTTTAGGACAAGAGTAATAGTTTTGCTGGTCTCCTTTTCTACTATTGAAGTATGCTGCAGGCCACAGGGGTCCTTTGGAATCTTGTATTCTCATCCAGATGTCTCCAGGCCTCTTGAACCTGCAGTACATTGTGAAGGGAAGCAATGACTCATAGCTGTGGATTCCCATCATCTCGCTGCTTCTTAGGGCACTTCGTATCCTCTTGGAACCTTTTATGACCTCTACCAAAACACAGCTTTTACACTCTAACATAAAAATTCTAGGTAATTTTTATTTCAGTTTCCAGTTTTTTTAAAACATTTTTCTTTCTACCACTTCCACATTCTACATGTTAGTCAAAAGATCCACAGGAAAAGGGAATGCTGCAACCTCATATCTAATAATTGAAAAAACCCCACAACATTTTCTGTGTACTCTGCATTCAGCCAGATTCTCCAAATTGAAATAGGAGTCTGGAAGAATACAGTTCAAGGATTATGAAAGTTTCAACTTCAGTTCCACGGGGAAGGAGTCATGACGTTACATGATGAAGTGGAAGGGTTGCTTGTCCAAATTTTCTTGCATATTTAGAAATGTGAATGTGTAGACAGTTCATATGAGATAAAAGAAAAAATTCAGACTACTTTTTGCATGTCAAAAGCAGTGTTCAAAATCTGTGTTCAAACTGGCTGAAATGGAAGATGTATCCAATAGTTTATATAGTTTGTTTTTTTTTTTGTTTGAACTGAACCTCTTATTCTTCTATTGAAAAAAAAATGTTTAAAAAAGAGCTACTTGATTTTGTTGAAATTTTCCTTGGGGAAAATTCTTTCTTTTTCAATCATACCTACTCAACTAGAACTACGCTCCCATGATTCTCAGAGGGTTTTAAAAAAAAATCCCACTACTTTAAAAGCATGGAATACATGCTAATGAGCCTGAATCTTATTTATGGGTGTACGTAAGTAGGAGACAAGGTAGCTGCTTACTATCATTTACTTTTAGCTAAGGGCAAATCACTTTTGAGAGCAGTCAGAATCTGGACTGCGAGGGCTACAGAGGAAGAAGGTATTCCTCTGAAAGGTGTGGAGCTACCTGAACTAAGGGATGGATTTTACCCATATAAAACTACTAATACTATGTTAGCTCCTTAGTGGTTTTGAGACACATGCAGGCAGCACTGGAAAGTACAGGATTCTTTTATTATCTCCCCAGTGGAAAGCAGAGCTTTAACTCCACTTTAGTTATGACAAACAGACTAACATCAACATTTTAGAAAAAGGTGTACTAACACAGGGTCTTCACTTTGGGTTGTTCCACTTACTGTGTTTAGGGCAGCATGCTTAAAGAGGTGCTGAGCATAGTTCCTATTGCCTTCATGTCTTGCTCCAAGAAGCAAGAAATCCCTTGAGCTGGACATAAAACCAGGCAGCAGAAGTTAGCGGATACTACTGAGAGTTCAGGGAAAGCCACAAGGTACAAACAGAACTCTATTCTGGTGGGCTTGAAACAGAATTTTGAAAGGAGGAAGATGGAGATGTTAGCAAAGCAACTTCCATAGAGTTTGGAAAGAAAGATCCTCTGATATCTCTGGGAGCCAAGAAATACTATTTTTCTAGTACATCGATGATCCTAGTTTTGAATTGCTTTGAAGGCCTTTTCCATGCTGAGAGTTCTGTTGCAACTGTCTAAGCTATTACCTGCTTTCAGCTTGGGATAAGTACCAGGCTTCCCACCTAACCAGGTACCTTGAAGATATCTTTCCTTGGAATGCTGGTAGTCCTTCTACTGGCAGTGGAGTGAGCACATTAGATCTGCTCCTAGCAAATAGGTTTCTCTTTAAAGTACTGTGCACCTGCCAGATGTGTGAACACCTGCAGCTGTGCATCAGGAGCAGGATTTTTCATTGTGACTTCATGTCCTTTTGAATTTGTCGCAGAAGAATTATCTGCTCTGTTCTTTGACAGCGCCTTGAAGCAAGACTTCTTTTCAGTGTCTTTATTTCCTTTCTCTACAAAATAGATTGGATTTTAAAAGTATTGAATTTTAAAAGGTATGGGTTCATTTTAATCTACAATGTTGTTCTGATGGGGATTGACAAAATGTCAAATGGCCAAAAAGTAAGGGAAAACAGCATTCCTTACGTCTTTCATGCTGTACAAACAGATCTGGGATCAGACCTGAGTCTGATCAATAGGAAGCCATTAAGTGCCCTGCTACCAACTAAAATATAAGGAATAGGGATATTTATTATTTTCTGCTAGTCAATTATCTGATGAGATTATATTGTAGAACTATACAAGGTAGAATAAAGTGCTTGTATATGTAATACTGAAAGTTTGTATTTCTAGGTCCTCTCCATTCCTATACCATGTGCAATTCTTTCCATTTATTTAACAAAAAAGTGAAAGTTTTCTGAAAATAAATATTTTAGCCGACACCTGGTGAAAATGAGAAATATTTTGCTTGACATCTGGTCCATTGGCAGAAGACAAAAAATAAGTTCTTTTCTTGTACATAGACTTGACTTTGGGGGAGACAAGCACTAACTCTGTGAAAAACTTAGTTTTGTTGAAAATCCAATTGTTCAATGGGTAATATTTTGATGGAAAACGAACTTATTCAAAAAAATTCTTGAAGCACCAAAGTCCATCATTCTCCTTCTTGGTTTTAAGGAACAGTTAGTGGAGGATGCTGAACAGTGTTGAAGAAGGATCCCCAGGAAGCAGACATACCTGAGGAGGGAGATTTAAATTGCAGTTTATGATCTTCTTGTTAGTTTGTGTTAAAACAAATCCTTACGTGGGAGTAGCTGAGTATGGCTGGCTTGTAGTGTGTCAGAGGGCAGGTTAGGTAAAGCACCTGCTCACAGGTGCTCACCCTTAATGTGAGTGAAAAAACAGCTGGGGGAGGGATGGAAGGGATATAGAGACTCTAATATTGTATAATTTAGATATTGGCTTGATGTCTGATGGAGTGCCACATATTCAGGGGAAAATACAGTCTAATTAGCACAGGTGAAAGCTATCTAATAACAGACCTTTGAATACTAGGCCCCTTAAATCAAGAAAGATAATTAGAAGTTCTATTCCAGGGAAGGGGGAGTAGTGCTTCTTGGTTTCACAGGCAGAGGCTTAGGATTTCTGCACCTTAATTAGACACGGGGTTATTTAGATCAGTGCCTTTCAGCCTTTCCAATTTGCATCCCCCTAGCAATTTCCAGGAAGGCAGAAACCTGTGTACTGAACTTAAACCAGTGGATGGTAGCCTTTGACACTGACATAGAAAATACTGATTAAGAAAATGGATGACTCTCACCTGGGAAGCAATAACCTTAATTTGAAGAAGACAGTGGGGCACAGGAGGAGGACTGGGCTCTACATACTGCTGATACCTAAAGACAGCAGCTTTGGTGGTTGTTCCTTGCTGTGGCATCTCCCTCCCGCAACAGCAGAGACCTGCATCCCTCTGGGCGGTCGAAAGGCGCTGCAGTGCCCTGTGTTATGAGTCCCTGTTAGCGAGGCCTGCGCACCCCACATGGCTGCCAGCTGTAATTTTCCTTGCTAAAGTAGGAGAAAGGGCCGCCCCTCCCCTCCCCAGCCAATACTTTACCCCCTGGGATACTTTGCTGAAATGAACTATTCATGAGCTATCTCCCTTTCACTTTTACCTCAGGAATGGTTGGGGGGCCACTGGCTGCCGGGCATCCCCAGGGCCGTGGCCGGTCCCGGC